TAAGAGACATTTGCATCCTTATAATCATTGCCATCATAGTCCTTATTTGTATCCAATAAAAAGATAATTAACAACCTTAATTGTGGACTTGGTAAATGATTGTCTTTATTTGATGTTTTTGCCTAATAAAGTTAATTAAGGAAAGATAATTAGTACATATTCTAGTTCAATACACTCCACAATACTCATTGATTCAATCATTAAATTATATAACTTTTAGTTTTTTCACTTTTGATTCAAATTTGAAAAAAAAAACAATCCTTTAATAAAGATATTGTAAGATGTGTTGAAGCAAAAAATATGTATACCAATCATTGTCCTTAATTAAGTACTTCCAATTAATCATATATTGATCAACAAACCAAACAAACTGATGCCTAGTCCAAGTATGCATGTACGTATTCTAGGACCGTGCGTCCAACATCCATTTTCTGCTTGCACCCCACAACTAATTAGGTATATGATACATTAGTTTTGTAAACTTAAATCATCATATATTTAGTTAAACAATATTTTCTTATCCACTAACGTACTTCTGCACATCAGCTTCGAAACTTCTTGACACTATAGTAACAAGTGCATTAATTTTTTTGTAAAATATTGTTGTATGCATCAATGACTAAACTAGTAAAAGTATATGTATTTTGTATAACACTATAATTGTCGTCATGTTTAGGTTTTTGATACCATATAGTAGATACAACCGTATTGAGAATTTTAGACTAAAAGCAAAGATGTTTCCTTTACTAGTCTAGGTGGCAGTTTGGAAGGGAAAGCTAAGTGACTAGGGAGCTTAAATAGACCAACCTTATGGATATGATGATAAGGGATCGGTGGGCTTTTGTATGTGACAAAAGTTTGGAGTTCAAATTAAACATTGTGAATTTCTCTTTTGATGCTCTATAAGCTAATTCAGTAATTTTACGCAGGAAGTTGAAAAGAAAGCCTCAAGAACAAAATTAACAATATTCTATTTTCCATTTTTTATTTTCTTTTTTCAATTGAAACATATAGATGTCATTAGTTACTATTTTCTTCATCTTAAAATAACAATTATTTTTTAATCTTTTTTGCTTATTAATAATTTTAAAACAATTTATCTATTACCTTCATTAACCTTATGAATCAAGTAAAGATAAAGAGAAAATTTTAGTAATAGAGTTGATAATTAAAATTAAAGAATAATTATAATATTAAATTAGAAAGTAAAAATATTTATCTTCCTTACGAACTAAAAAATCAACAATTAATTTAGAATAAATTTTACTTTAAAAGAACCACGTATAATTATTTTGGTATAGTAAGAGTATCTACATTTTCCTATCTAATAAGATAATATTGTCTCTGAGAAGTTAAATGTTTGACAAAGGGATCTTCAATTCTTTAAGAAAGTTGTGTTCTTAAAGAATGCCCAGGTGGTCAAAGATGCCCAGCAAAATGTGGTTACAACGATGTCGTACATGTTAGCCATGAC